AAATAAAAAATTTATATCTTTATGTTTGAAGCCTGAAATGTGGCAAAAGGTTGAAAAGTTCAAGGGGGCCGAATACTTTCGCAAGGCACTGTATACACAACGCCATGATAACAAGATTTCCTCTAGATCTCTAGCTATAAACAAAAGCACTGGCCAAACCTGACAGAAAAGCAGAAGACGGTACAGAGAAGCTTCTTTGCTTGACACACCACCGAAATTACAGAGGAGTCTGCCTCCATTTATCTTCAAATGCCAACAAATCATTCAGCAGCAAAGGCATGCTTTTGTTTCAGCATCAGGCTGATTCCAATCAAAAGCCAACCCCTTCTTTCTGTAACTGTGTTTAGTCAAGATAACCTTTATCACTCACAGCTTTGCATTGAAGGGTAAACATAGTTCCAATAAGCAATGATTTAATCAATGGGGTGCAAATCTTGTGCACACTGAGCATTTCTAAGTACACCCAAACGGTGATAAATTCAGCACAGCAAGGATTTTATGCTTATTTAAAGATGATTAATTAACCTCTGTATGAGGTGAACACTGAAAGAAAATACTTCTTCTATTACAGTTTAGACTAACAACTGAAAGAGTGCTTGTAATTAGACAGGTTTGCCAAAGATAACCAAGATAACTACATAAATGATAAACCCAATGGTCAGGAATACAGAACTGAACCAAACTGCATTTACTAAACAGGCAATAAATCCCTCCAACAAAATAAAACTGCTGTTACATCCAGAAAGGTAGTAAGATTCATAATCAGTGATTTCATCACTGTATAACAATAGTTCTGCTCTTACACATACCCCAGGAAACTCAAGTATAAGGTGCAGGTGCACAAGAGAGCCCCCAGCCCCCAGAGACAGTATAATGCACTCCTTCCTTGATGAAGCATTAATGTTATTATACTGCAGACACTTTGCAGCACATCTTAAAAGACACTGAAAAGTTTCCATTTCTTAAAAATCATGATGGCAGGGCCTTGCAAGCAAACAACTTTTGAAAAGGTCAGATCAAGGGTTTGTTCAATAAAGCATAGGGGAAAAAACAGTGACATTACCAGCTTTTAAAAAAGCAAAAGCAATATTTCTAGCACAGGCTTGTTAACAGTGTGACCAAGCTGGAAGAACACAAGATTTGTGAATCTTCTCCTGATGAGCTACTGCACAATCCTGGTACTCAAGGGCCTAGTACCTTGAGTTTTTGTGTTGAGACTGAGCTGGAGTGCAGATAAAAATATATACTTAATAGGACCAAACTGAACATCGATTCCCCCACGGGTACTAAATAGTTATTTTATAGAGAGAGTGTTGGCCGTAATATGACTCTCCCCTTAAAACCTGTTTCTAAGTGTTATTTCACAATTTCTCCTTTAAAATGTTTGAAACTTACATGCGCTACTTTGAAAGAACACAAACCAATAAAGATTTTTTAACTACCATTCTGAGAAGGCTTTCCCCCCACCCCCAATTCAAGGTTCAGAACAAATGCTATATTTCCCCAATACGAAAAGATGTACTTTAGCATCTCCTAAAAATCTGTGCTACATAAAAGGATAAAAATAGAACCACCAAACTACTGTCCCCCTCTCTAGACCTGGGATGGCCAATCTTGGCCCTGAAGGCCCAGTGTGTTTGGAGAGTTTTAATTACAGCTCAGCTTTTAGTGGGCTGGACCAGTTTAACAGCTTTTCCAAATTTCCAAATTCTTCAAGTGCTGCCTTTAAAGTAACCCCTGCCCTAGACAGCAACTGTCTACTGTTTTAATATAGTAAAAGCCTTCAAAAAACAGCTTTTTATTTATGCTTTTAAACAATGCTGATGACCGTCTCTAAAAGAAACAAATACAGTTCCTTACTTTTAATGTTTCTAATACATTCCAAAAATATTTAACTCGACTCCAGACTTACCAGGACAATTCTGTCATAAGACTGTAGCTTTAACATGACATTATACCCACACCAGACAAAGGTTTTTTAGTTGCAATCAACAGAAACCTGCTATGACATGCCTATGCATGGTATTCAGGATGTTGTTGAGTATTTTATTTTTAAGAACCAATTACCAACAAAAGACAAACTTGTTCTTTGCACCAAAGCAAGGTCCATCCATTTTCGAATCACTGTATCCAACACAGGGTCGCAAGGGAGCTGGAGACTATCCTTGCAAACAATGGGCACAAGGCAGAATACACCTTGGATGGGACACCAGTCCATCGCAGGATGCACACACAGGCATGCAGAAATTAACATCAGGGCCAAAAAGGCAACATTAAAAAAACTGCAGTGCTATTTTTATATATTTTTCATATTTTTACATATTTTGGGGTTAGAAATTAACAGCCTTGATTAGTGAATCTCCACAATAAAATGTCTGCAATTCCAAAAGAGGCAACAACACTTGTTTGTTGAGGTGAAGTGGCCCTATTACATCGTAAACAAGCAGGCTTGTGAACATATCTTTTAATCCAATAGAAATATTGCTCTCAAACTGCAAGACGGTTTTACCAACAATTACTACTTACTTGTTAATTCTGCATTCAGATCACATTGGAAGATTTCTGTGATGAAATATCTGCTGCACAACCTGTACTTATTTGCATCACATTATATTAGTTATTACAGTGACTAGTGAGCAGGAAGGGCCAAATCAAGTCACAATTCATGCAAACTCTCAACCGTGCCGAGACCAGGAGTTTGCAACAACAATTGTGACCATACAGTATTTTTATGCAAAGTTTATGAATTTTTGCTATATTGTCAAGAATTTATTTTGTTGCAGAGATTTAATAATCGGTCTGAGAAACTTGCACTGCAATTCCCCTTTTAATATCAAGTCTCCAGCTGGTGAGTTGATTTCTGCTGGGCTCTGCACTCCGGTACCACAAACAAAAATGCTGAACTATATAGAGAATATAGTGATTTCTGGATCTCTCCATTGACAACATTCAAAATTAAGTCTGATTTGTATCCCCCTAATGTGATAATGATCTCAAAATAAATACACTGTGCCAACCGAGACTTTATTCAGGTTGAAACCTAGATATTCACAGCATTCAAGGACAGGAACAATGACAGTTCAACACAGCATGTGGTTTGCGTCCATGTTTTACTTCAGCAAAAGAAAAGTATCACAAATCAGCAGGATTGCACTAACACTGCAGAATTAAAATGTAATCACCAGGTTATGTAATGCTTAAGATAATTAACTGCACCTGGAGCTGATTCAAATTAAATTAAAGGTTCAAATAAAAAAATAAAAGGAGGACAACAGTCTCTATACTTTTGTCCTTCTAAGAAACTGCAGATCAATAAATGGACTGTAATGGGGATGCGTGTCTGAAAGCTTGCTGAACGGGCCCGAAGGGATGGCTGCTCGGTTGCGCATGAAGGAGAAACAGCCGATGGATCAATGCAGTTCATGAATGATGCGACTGCATGGAGGTATTGATGCAATCTGAGGAACTTGGTCCAAATTAACATCGCTCTATTCACCTATTCATCATCCCATGTGCTCCCTCGTACGTGGCACACGGACACCATACTCCAGACAGACAGCTCTGCAGCCCATTTCTTTTCCCGTTGTGTACACCGCTATTCCTATTGTCGAATGACTGGACCGGGAAGACACGGAAAATAATTCCACATGCATTTGTTGGGAATGCTGCTGTAAAACACGATCGAGACTGATGTTTATTACGTGAACCACGCCCGTTTTTTTAAACGTGACAAATGGTTCGACAAATTAACCAGACAACGACTATGCTTCCACAACAGACGTTGGCAATTTCCACACAAACATTAAATATTAAATATTCCTGGTTTAAAAAAAAGGAATAAAGGCGTGCATATGTGATTACTTTTTAATAACTGTCAGAAGAAGTAATTTCCCATTGTTCGCTTCAAGATGCATTTTGAAGAACAACTCGGCGATGAACAGTCGATGACTATATTACAGATGATCGCCTGCTTTGCTGTTCAGCAGCCGGAAAAGTGTGCACGCATTTAAGCATCGAAACCATTTGTACAGCACAGTCAGTCATTTAAGGAATGTATTGTGACCAAATTGTGTGAACTGGCAGGTATGACACAGCTGCCTGGTTTCACACATTGGCATTTCTTTGAAAAGAGGTAGTCTTTAAGAATTGAAATAAAAAGAATAATGACGAGTATGTAGCAATTGTAGGGAACATTAGAATATCCATAACAAAAGTATTAATTCGGACATTCGTCAAAAAGCTTTGACCACTTCTACGCCTGGCCTACCATAAATGCCTGCTTCCCCGCCCTGACATTGTGTAGTCTGTATGGACAGACAAAACCGTAAATCTCCTCTGATTTAAATCGTGTATTTTTTTTTTAAGAAAAGCTCCTTCCTGGGAAAGACTGATCATGCTTTACTTACAATCACTGCGGTACACAAGCTTGACATCCAAATTTAAACTAAGTGAAACAGTGAGGCTGTTGTTTTCCCAAAACAAAACTTGCAAGCAACCAAATTAACATTTCAACAGGTTAACATAATAATACAACTTTTCTTTACCATGCCCGAAAAGCGTACAAATCAAATGTATGTAAGAAAACAACACTCTCTTAGATACAAATAAATTAAATGTCCAGACTGGTAATATTTATCGAGCCCATCTGGCAGCAAATCGCAACTGCAAGTTGCACAAAATCCAACCCACTTGTCTAGTACTGAGCTTAACCACACCGTAAACACTCTAAACAGCCGGCAAGGAGGCTTAAAACTTGCAGAACTTCATTTATAAAAACATGGATTCTCACCCAATTCCAGAATTCAGGATGATGGGGAGTCCGTGATTACCTCCTGGTTTTAAATCCCTTGTTGCAGTGTCATGGCTCTTCGCATGGGTGTATTTTTGTGGAGAGAAACGTGTAAAGGAGGAAAGATTATGTCCCTGACACACTGGGGGAGAATGCAGGAATGTGACGTAGAGTCCGGTTGCCGACAGGACATGTGCACGGGGAAGCGGGAATTCTGGGAGGTGGAGTTTTGCCTTCGACTGTATTTCTACATCACAATGACGTGCGCCGGGAGCCGGAATCCTTTGGAGACGCTTCTCCTGGAAAGGTGCGGCTTTGCAGTGCGGTATCGATAAGCGCATGGTAATGTTTAGTTTGAATCTATAAAACGTGGGTTCGAAGGTTCCTAAAATAGCCTTCCATTTATTTACCTTTAAAGACATTTCCAGGACTGTAAGCGTTCTCTTTTCAGCATGGAATAAACCTATTACTTGTTTCTTTGAAAAAAGTACAGTTCTCTGATTTTGGAAGACCGTCCATCTCAAGATTATCCAGTATTACCGGTCAACAGACGTGAAATGCAGGATAATTTGTGCTTGCTTGTTCTGTAGCATGGTCGCCTCTGCTTCGAGCATTATTTTCAGGCAATTCAAAAATAAAGGTCGGATGCTATAGAAAAGACAGGTGGCATGCCTAGTGCAGTCTCCACTCGTATTGCATGAGCTGTCTGATCTCGCTCTGTCCAAGACAAGTGAAACACAAGGTGATCGGAGTGGGTTTTTTTTCCCTATTTTTAAGGTAGTATTTTCGTTTCACCGGATGTGTTGCACATCATTAGACCTGCTTGGCTTGGATTAAAAATAACATGCATTAGAGAAAACAGTCCCAGCCTGTTTCTGTATATTTTAGTTAATGATTACAGTAGGACAAACTACTCCCGTCTGTGTCAAATTGTGCATTTCAATGATGAGATTAAACGTGGAGCAGCACAACTTCCATAAAATAATACAAGTCTTACATTTAAAACTCCCTATGATCTCACGCCTGGGCAAAAATGTGTATTTTGTTCAGTGACAGCCGGTGTCGGGAAGATTTGTCTTTGGCTTCTTCCTGTACAATCTACTTTCTCTAATTCATAATACTTGGTTTGTTTTGAAGTAGCAAAACGATATTGATGAACATCCAGCTACTTAACACTGTCTCGGTCTCAATGAAACTTACACATGTAGTGAAGCATTAGCACAGAACGGTTACATTAAGACAGCAAAGTATTTTTTTCACGCAAAACACTAACATTGTAAAGATCCATCATTAGATGATTAATTTAGAGATCTACGCGTCTAACCCTAAATGTATATCTGATAAAAAAATTTTACCAACATCTTCTATTGAAATAGAATTTATTCGATCACGCAAAATAATATTTCAAGACAACAGCACTTACAAAGTCTATTTTTTAAACAAAGTTACTTAGGTTAGAATGAAACGCACTTGGATCGATGTCGTGTTCTCTTCTTGCTGTCATTAAGACAAAAAATAACATGTCTGAGCAGACCCAATATCACAAGGTATACAGAAATCCACGAGATGCATCATTCGGCTGTGAGAGTACTGTAGATTAGAACCTCTTTGCTTAATTATTTTTGATTAATTGTTTTTTTCTTTTTAAAAATGACCCATGGCTTTATGTATGGCTTTATTTTAAAATATGTGTATCCGTGTAATTTGCATACGTTTCCCCCGTTGATTAAAAGGCCGCTTACGCTTAAGAGAAAGCGTTGACACTTATTTGAGAAATCCAGTGAGACAGAGGAGACGTCCATAGTTTGCGCTCATGTAGTCGCACAATGATGTAATCTTCCACCATGGCCAAAAGGTGTGGCAAAACGCCCGTGACAGAAGAAAAAAGAACTCGTTTTAAAATAATAACTGCAACTTATAGCGTCACATTACAATGTAAATTCTAATGTAGCCCAAGCACTCGTATGTGTGCACAATATTTAAAGTAATCCAGAATGCGCTTCCTGTGTGCAACACATAATAGCAGACTAATCTTCAGCCTACTGATTGTAGTAGGAAAAAGTTTTTTTCCTCGGCATGGTTGAACACATTCCTTCAAACCAAGCTCCCCCACGTGGCTGGTTTTGTTATAGCGAAATAATTTACTTTGTGTAAGTATAACCAGATAGCATAACTCTTCAACACAGACTACATTCATTATTCGTAAATTTTCAAAACTGGAAGGTGAGATTTTCGCCATTATAAGAGAGAGGATACTAGAGTCCTCGTGTCAGTTACTGATTATATATCTTGCAAATTATCAGTAAAGGTATGTACTGTATATAGTCTGACATAAACTAAATTATATGTCCCTACCAAATACTTTGGAGCGGGAAGTATTTTAAAATTAACATTAAGATGCTTAATAAAATAGTAAATTAAGTTTTACATTATATTTGGTACAAAACTGACATTTATTATAGAATAAAAAATGTAACAATAACTCCTTCAGTTTGGAAAACAAAGACAAATTGTTATATATTTTCAGGATTTTTTTATGAACGTGAAAGCATTTTCTATTACCTAATTCTTCAGTATATTTATATAAATGTATATGTCTCTTCCATATGAACATATTAATTGAAGCACCAGCATATGGCTAATAAAGTGATCTCTCCCTGTACCATGTGAAACGAAGAAACTATTCATTTACCTGTACCTTCCTTAGAATACCAAAACTCTATTGATTAAATGACTGCCAGCCCATGACATAGCAGGTATGAAAACTGTTTTGTAAAAAACCGTTTTAGGACTTCCATGGTTTTTTTTACTTTGCAGCTTCCACAATGTCACTAGAACTAACAAGAAAAGAGGCTGCAAAGGACTGGAGGCTCACTGACAAACTGGAATAACTGAACCTGTTTAGTCTTGAACAGAAAAACAACAACACATGGGACCTGCTAAGTATCCACAACCTCCGAAGTCAATGTACTAGACTTCCTTAGAACGAACAGTGAAACAGGAACCAGAGGACATGTGTGCAAAATAAGAACAAGAGGTACTTCGTAACCCAAAGAGTTGTGGCACCATGGAACAAGTTTCCCAGCCATGTGGTTGAAGCTGATACCCTGAAGTCTTTCAAAACATGGTTGGATGAGATCCTTACACCAATAAGCTACTAACTACCACACAGGTCATATAGGCCGCCTCTTCTGTTCTTCTTGTGTTCTTATGGAGCGGAGATGCTGCTCTCACTGACAAAAGTGCAAGATCAAAGCTGCCCAGCAAACCAAAGAGGTCACTGCTGTTGAAAAAATCAAGACGCTAAAATCCGCCCAGTCCTCGTCCTGGAGCTTTAAGTATGTTTGTAGGTTCTGTAAGTCTCTTAAAAGCAGTAGCATCTGAAGAGCTGTTAAACATAAAATGCTACTTGGTCATTAAAGACGTGGGGCATATAACACATATGTATGTGTTATATGCGTAATAAATGAATTACGTACTTTTTTACGTTATTTGCCTACATGTACACATACGCCCTAAATGTTATAAATTCAAAAAGAAAATTACTTTGCCAAAAACAGACTTAGATTTGCATTCTGAAAAATTCAAATTACGTCTTGCCTCTTCACTTTAATCCACCTAATCATCAACCAGCAATCCACTTGTCTTGTCCACTTGTCTTGTTGTGTATTGAGACAATTTAATATTGATGTTAAGGAACGGAATGCGTCATTATTTCAGACGCTTTATCTTACCCAAAACAGTCAAAGGGGATCATTAAAATAATAAACATTTTCAGTTTAAAAATTAAATACGTCAACTTTCTATTGAAAAATGTTATGCGTTGCAGTCAACAAAGTATCTTGAAAAAACTAGAATTGCGCAAAACGCGCAGTTCACTTCATCAGCTAGTTTCTATAAAATTCATGTGCGACCTCTCATGGACATTTAGGGAATCGTTTTACTGTCTGCTAAATACACGAAGGCTTTTCAAGTAAGAAATTGAGGCACGACACACTGATTAACAAATAAAGCAATCAATTACATACCAGATACAAGCTTTTTTTCAGCCCAATCTGTTTCTTGAAAAATCTTTGTAGATTGCATTTCAGAGAAGTTTCATTGAGTTAAATCGGTGTTCTCCTGATTGCAGTGAGGATGCAGTTAACAAGATTAAGTAACATTGCAAGGTGTGTGGTTATACAAGAATCCTATAATGGTTTAGTAATATTATATATAAAACTGAAAACCTCCTATGGCTCCAGATTATGCAAAGTTTTGAACCAGCTCAAGGTTCGACTACCAGGAAGCCTGACGGCAGTACAAGATTTTTACTCAGTTTTGGAAAGGTCAAGAATTACCTCCCATTGGATTCCTCTCTCAGGTTTACTATCTGCTTTTAAATAAAATATGGATTGATATTTTTTACATGCCAAAGGAAAATCGCTGACTGGGTTTTTACTTATAATGACACAGTGTTCCCTTTTGATAGTAAATTATACCTGGAGAGACCCCTATGTCAACGTGAGACAAAAAGTTTCTGAAATGAGCGAAGAAAACTGGCTAAGTGCAAATTGAAATAGGTTTTTCCCACTTTTTGTATTGTCTGTATCGACATAAGTATTGAATTAAAAATACCAGCAGGTATATACAGAATTTTAACAATCCGATTGACCGTGGACAGGAACAGGAGGATCAATTCATTACCAGTGAATGTTTTTTTTAAAAAAGGTGATAAAATGGGGCAGTAAGATGTCCAGTATGAAATAAAAGTATTTAAATAACCTTTGAATTCTGTTGAATTATACTGAATTCAAGATGCATTTAAACTAAGATTTTTAATACTATAGCTCTTTGCCATCCCAGTAAGCAATCCCTTTAAATGAGAAGCAAAGATTAAAACACATGGGGGTCTGGAGTCATCAAGAAAAGTCATTTAAAAATATAAAAATGAAATGAAATAGATAGAACAGTCGTTCTGCATTGGCATTTGGGGACCAAGGTTATAATTGTAATTTAAGTCAGTGTATATTTTGCATTGCACCGAGGGAGCTGCCTTGACAGATACACGTTTTGAATTCCATGGTATAAAGCAGGGAAGTCTCGATGTATAAATAAGGATGGACGCAGCTCCGATGCTCTCCAGTGGTTTTTGTACAGCAATTAGT